GTGTGTGTGTGTGTGTGTGTGAGTATGTATGTCATGTATGTGTGAGTGTGTGTTTGGTATGAGTGTGTATGTGTGTATGTTTAAACAAAGAAAAAAACAAATCAGCCTCTTGTACACGAAAAAAACCCACACCCTAACTCTTTCCTTCTATTTCGGATAAGAGAATGAGCTGAACTGCAAGTTCATGGTCATGTAAAAAGGGTGGTTTGCGGATGTTATGGTTTGGTTCGCTCCTTCTTTGCAGTCAAACATCTTTCGTTCTTATCGCTCCTCTTTTCTTTTTTTGTTCATGACTCTCTTGTAGCACCTCTTATCTTCGACACTCATATTCTTATGACCCAATTGTATTGCAAGTGCCGTAAACTCCTACTAAAATATAACAGCCTTATCGAAACGAAAGTTGAGACAACTCGAAAAAAAAACATGACATGTTTTCTTTTTAAGGGGGTTCCGGGGCTCAATACCTTTTCCTTCCAACTAAAAACATATTTCTGTGTCTGGATAATACACAAAAAAAACTGTGACCACATGCACCAAAAACAAAATGCAAATTTTCAGATGATACCAAAAGCAACATATCATTATTATGGCTACAAATTGACGATACTTGATTCCACGGTGCCCTGACATATGTTTTTTTTCCGGGGGGGGGGGAGTTTGTTTTGTTTGTTTTGTTTTGTTTTTGTATTTTTAAGTCATTCTGTGAACATGCAGCGTGAGGGGTTGATATGCACCCCTTTATGATCACTTATATGTCCATCTTTTAGAACTGACTAGTCAGGGCAAATTGCAGGTTGTGAAAATGTATGAGATATCTTAACTGTTTGAAATGATTGTTTTATGTCATGCAACATGTGTCAAGTTATGATTAGAAAATGTCTCTGAATCAATAAACTATACTTGTTTTTCTCCACATACCACTCACTTAATGGTTATTTTGTCTCTATTTGACCAGTTTGTATATTGTTTGTTGTTTTAAGTACATTACGGCTCTTGATAGCATGTCACAGTAGCGTGCATCACAAAATAGAAATATCGATCACAGGGCCTAGTGGCTTGTCTGATTGTTTTAGAAATTTAGGAGAAGTTGGATAATACTTCAATCTTCGTAAAAATAGCATTACGTGAAGTCCACAGCACACTCTGAATTGTAACCTTTATTTCTCCAAAGTGTTGCAATAAGGCGAAACTGACTAATCTATAATCAGAACCACTAGGAGAACACAGTTGAGATCCTTTGACCACATAAATAGATCAAATTAAGGAGAAAGAGAAGCTGCTGCTGTGCGGAAATATTGAGGGAAAGAAGAGCAGAGGAGGAAGACAAAGAACGGCATACCCAGATGGCCTGCACACACACACACACACACACACACACACACACACACACAGACACACACACACACACAT